CCAGACCTAGATTCTTTGGTCTCGGTTGTGGAATAATAGGACTAGTTCGACCCTGCAGATGTTTTCCGAGGCCTCGACCTGGGACGTATCCCATTCGTTTCATGATATCTTGAGATGTTTCTGAGTATTCATTTGTGAGTTTAAAACCCATATCCTTTAACAAATTTCTTCCCCATAGTGAAATTGGTAAGTCTAACACATAAGGCTGCATGGTCCCTGAATGCCCTTCCTGATCTTTCCAAGGCAATTGTCTAGCACTCATATCAGGAGCCTTAGCATAACCCAAACCTTGTAAAGTCTGAGAAGAGACCTGTATAGGCCAGCCAGAGGGCCAATCTTTGGTGCTAATAATGCCAAGGTCGCGCGCGGGTTCCATCCCCGACAGGCCACCACTTGTCGCGTCCACCCTTGACCAGCAAGAACGACGCAAACACCGAAGAATCTTCTTCACACAGTTTAATCGGGAACTTGATTTACAGTGAATGGCGGCCCCGGGTAGAGGAAGACTGGGCCTGATATAGTCTATATCTACCAATCACCTAACCCTACGTGGTGCGCCAGAATAGGTTGTCTCCAAGCAGAATTAAGATGAAACATGACCTTTACCAAATTAGGAGTTGTTTACCACAGAGAGCACTCGCCGTCGGGCTGGCGGAAGGCGGAAACCGGTGCCATCTTTTGGGCGCGGTACTTTGCAGCTCCCAACAGGCATGAACAAATATCCACCCGATAGGGAACTGATGGCAGACCAAAGTAATAATTCACCAAGGTCCAACATGGGGTTTATTTATTGGGGTTAATTATACAGGAGAAATATCTCAAAGGCAAATACATCACTGAAAACTCATTCCAGTATGGGTATTGGTTCACAAAAGCTGGAACTCTGTCACTTACTGTATGATGTGCAGGTAACTCAGCAGGTTGGAGAATGTCTCTTCCAAGCAGTTTGTCTAGTGTGTCTCCTCAGCAGTCTTCACTGCGTATATAAGCTTAGGGAGAAAGGTACATTGTATATCTGGTCAGTTTCAGGTATTTCTGGAGACTCATGTGCTGTTTACTTCCCAGGTCCTAATGAACCTCCCTTTAAAACTTCCTAAGTCTTAAGGAGCTTTGCTCCAGGATGGAATGTTCTAATACAGAGGAAATCACTACACAACACAGCCCCTCTGGCCTGTCTCTTTCCTGGCATTTGTCTGGCTGTCCTAGTGTGGACAGACAGATCCTCGAGGACTTGAATAGTTTGCTGCATTTGTCTCCAGCCCCAGCTCATGGTAAATGCTGACTCAGTGAACATCTGCCTTCAATATTTTCCCCAAGATCTACTCATCTGAACCTTCACCCTTGCAGATGTGACAGCCTTCACCCTTGCAGGTGTGACAGCCATCACCCTTGCAGGTGTGACATCCTTCACCCTTGCAGGTGTGACAGCCTTCACCCTTGCAGGTGCACAGCCTTCACCCTTGCAGGTGTGACAGCCTTTAGGGTCCACCGCAGCACCTCTCAAGCTTATGATGGTTGATGCAAGTTGTGGTTTGATGACTCCTGAGTGATGAGGCTCTGTGTTGTAGAATGTTGTACAGTGTGAGCTCTGACCAATAAATGGAAGGAGCTCAACTACATCTTCCACAAGGTGTAACAAATAAAATGTCCTTATGCATTGTCCCGTCTCCCAACCCTGAGTAAACCCTCAGAGATTCCTGAAAGGACTCTCAAGACAGTCTGAACATCTTTTAAAAACTGTCAACAGCTTGTGAATCAGGAAAAATGTCTGATTCAGACCCCATTGTCCAGAGAAGTGTGAGGTAGGAGCAGAGCGTATTCTCTACTCCTCTAACTTCTCTCTGGCCTCTGGCTCCAAGGTGCCTTTCTGCTCTCTGCAGATTGTTTTGCCACCTGTGGGTCTGAGATTTACCTTCTGTAAACAAGGACTCTGGCTCTCTCACAGCATCTCCAGCCCCACAGTGTGCCCTCCCTTTGCCCAGGACCCAGACGCCCCCACCATGATGTTGATGAGCCTGTTCCAGGCAGGTGAGCTTGGGAACAGGGATTTAGACTGAGTCAATCTCCCCAGGACATGGCTTCTGACATGGAATCTATGATTCCCCATCAAAATATGAGAAACAGCAGCCATTCAGTACCTTGAGCCCCACTGATAATTCTATCCCATGTTTCTATTTCGTACTGTATCTATCTCTGGCAACTGATTCATACAAGGATTGATAGGATAAGACTTCAGTGGCCACAATTACACTGACCCAGGGCAAATTCCACCTTCACTCCATGGATATCAGTTTCACAGGAGATAATCATCTTTCAGGCAGGGGAAAAAAAGCTTGAAATGGAACTACTATAGCAGACACCCATGCTTGTAGCAGGTAAGTCATCATTGACCTGCACTACAAGGTTGTCCTGGGACTGGCTAAGGGCAGGACAGCAGGGGCTTACTGCACCTGGTTGCATTCTTGACCCTGCATGTCTCCCCTTCACTAGCCCTCATCACATCCCAGAAACCCTGGATTCTGGCTGTGCCAGTCACTCACTATGCTCTGTGCCCTCAGTCTGAGAGCAGGGGATGTCTTCTATCTGCAGGATGTCAGCTGTTCTCACGACTAAGATTGCAACCAATCTCACCTTTCAAGAGATGTTCCTTGGAGTTAGTATAACCATGGAGAAAATAACCCAGATAAATGTGTCCCTTTGGTTGCAGGGCCAATGTTGGGGACCTGGGGTGCCTGTCTGAGGAAAATGCTAGGACAGGCTGAGTACCTGTAGCTGACTGACAAGCCTGGCTTGCCCATAGCAGAGATGGTTCTAGTGGCTGTCAGGGGAAGCAGGGTCAGGTGTCAAAGTCCTGCTTCTCACATCCTGTCTTTTCTCCCTTGGATAAGCATATATACAGTCCTTGCAACACGGAGGACGTGATGCTCAGGTACCCAGTGCTGGATCCCTAGTCCTAAGAGGCCCAACAGAGGAGTTGAGGCCTGCTCTGATCAAACCAGTGAGGTTGTACAGACAGGCACATCAAGGGTAGGTTATGCAGGAGACCACTAATATGGAAACCACTAAGGTTTCCTAGGACTCAGTGGTGGGGGAAGAAAGTGCAGAAAACATACAAATAGTGTGGGAACTACAGCTGTGAGAACATGGTCTAGTCTTAGCACCAAAGGCTGAGCATGACACACCCTCGTCTATACATGTTGTTATAGGACAAGTCAAGGCCAATCTAAACACTAGCCCCACTCTACAGACCACAACAGAGACTTGTAAATGTTGACTTGTTCCCTGGAGCAGAACTGCTCATGTCTGGTAATACTGGTGGGCTTGAAGGGGCTAGAGTAGACATGGCTAGACATCTGCGCAAGGCAGTTACTGCCTTCACAAATGTGGCATGGCACTGAAGAGCTTTGGACTGGTCTCTCCTCTGTGGCATCTGCAACAGAAAAGGCTGCATGCAAAGAACTAGACTGGGCCATGTGGTGCTAGGTATAAAAGTGAAAGGGCTGCACTGGCAAGGACCTTGTGTCCTAAGGATAGAACATCACAGGGCCTCCTGTAGTCATTTCTGGGGATACAAGTGTGTCGGTTGTGGGGGCATTCCTATTACCCATCCAGACTCCATCTCATTTTTTTGCACCTCTTAACACAAGACAGCTCAAAGGTGAGAGAAGAGCTGCCCTTGTTGGTCCACGTCTCTTGCTCAGGAAATCCAAATGGGGGTATCTACTCCAACCTCAGCCAGGTCAACTCTGTGGATGTCAGTGAAGAGGATCAGCCCAAATGTCCTGAAGTCTGAGGGAGAGCTTACTACAACACCTAGAATCATTTTGGGTTCAGGGAACTGGCGCAAGAATTGTCCCTGCTATGAGCTGCTTGGGTCTATTGCAATTTGATCTGCCGTTGGAATGAAAATGCAGCGTCTACGTGTAACCGATTTGATCATGCACCTTTAGCTGGGATGCACCGCTAAATAGCTAGCCACAGTGCTGTGATGGCAACAGGTTTCCTCAGACCTGTGCATTGTGGGACAGTTCCCCACACTAATGGCATTCCTAAGGCACTCCAGTGTGGCTGCTGATGGTGACAATAGTGACTTCTAGAGGAAAGGCTGTCCTCATTTGTGACAAACGGCCTCTCCGTAGTGTGTCAAGTGATGTCTCTGCAGAGATGACCTGCTACTGAAGGCCTTCCCACATTCAGAACACACATACAACTTCTTGCCTGTGTGAACTCACTGGTGATCTTGGAGTTGGCTCTTAGAAGTCAAGGCCTTCCCAGTCACTGCATTTGTAAGTCTTCTCACCAGTGTGAATTCTCTGATGCGTTCTGAGTACTGACTTCTGATTAAAGGCTTTCCCACACTCACTACATATGTGGTGTTTTTCTGCAGTATGGATTTTCTGGTACAGACTGACAGACTTTCCAGCAGAAGGTCTTCCCACACTCGAAACTCTCGTAAGGTCTCTGCCGTGTGAATGTGGTGATGGACATTCAGGTGGGATGTTTTACTGAATGGCTTTCCACAGTCCTGACAGCCATAAGGCTCCTCCCCAATGTGAGTTTGAAGATGGGATGTCAACTCTGATTTCTGGAGAAAGGACTTTCCACATTTGGGACATACTAAAGGCCTGTCCCTAGTGTGAGTCACCTTATGTGTATGGAAACCTGGCCTGGCACTAAAAGCCTTCCCACATTCTGTGTACACATAGGTTTCTCTCCTGTGTGAATTCCTTCATGGACTTGGAGTTGGGCCTTAGCAGAGGAAGCTTTCCCACAGTCCCTACAATTGTAGGGTTTCTGCCCTGTGTGAACTCTCTGGTGAGTGCTGAGGATTGACTTTTGGTAGAAGGCATTCCCACATCCAGAACACACATAAGGCCTCTCACCAGTGTGAATTTGACTGTGTATCTTCAAATGACTTCCCACAGTCATGACATTCATAGGTTTCTCTCCAGTGTGAATTCGATGATGGACCTGCAGGTGGGATTTGTGACAGAAAAGTCTCCCACAGTCTGGACACGCATGAGGCTTCTCCCCAGTGTGACTTGAATACACAACTGCAGGTGGGATATACGAGTATAACATCTCCCAGTCAGGACATTTTGAGGCTTTTCTCTCCTATGTGAGTTCCTTGATAGGATGTCACATTTGTGACAGAAGGTCTCTCCCTAGTGTGTGCTGTCCAGTGTTTATGGAAATATGACCTGCCACTGAAGACCTTTCCTCCACCTTCAGTGCACTCAGGTGGTTTCCCCAGAGACTGACTTCCGAGTTGCTCAAGTGGTCACTCACGATTAACTGCTTTAAACTGATTAGCTTTGTATGATTTCTCTCTATGAGAAATCCTACATTTAGCATTACAAGAGCCTTGTGTGAAGAGTGGAATAGATGCAACCAACCGTGTCATTCAGCTGTTTTGTGATTCTGCTTTGATTCTGACCATTTGCTTTGAGGTTAGGGTTAAAACCTTTTGAAAATGAACATTTTGAAAGTCCTTGTTCACCAAAGCAATGGTTTCTCCAGACTCTCTACATTCACAGAGGCTGTCTGTGCTCAGTATTTTCTTTTTGAGGAGGGTATCAGGACTCAAAGGTGGGATCTGATTTTGCTGATCTCTCTTTGTAGAGTCAACATTCTACCACAGCTCTTGTAAAACAGAACACCATGAACCATCTCTTGTGACTTCACTTGCTCTATTAGTTTGAACTGAAACTTTCTCAGAAACTCTGTGATGGAGTGTCAAGCTCAGATTCCCCTTCTAGGAAGAGAAAGCAAAGAAGGAACAGGCACAGTAACAGAATGGAATCCCATGGAGTGACTACAGAGAAGTCTGAGCCTGACACTAATGATGTTGCTGATGTCAACAATGAGTAGAGTATCCCCCAGCCTGTATGGTGTGCAGACACGCATGCTTACAGCACCCAAGTGTCAGGCAGCTATGCTATGGACATACCAACTGTGGCAACTATACCTACTCTCATTTTTTTAGAGATTAAAAAACTGAAGAATAGACTGTTTCAGGAAATGGCCCAAATCACCTTGCTCCTCTGCAAGGAAGAAAGGCAACCAGGTTTGGAGAAAGGTTTGGAAAAGGTTTGGAGAAAGGCAATCAGGTCAACTTTATATAGAGTATACAGATTCTTAGATGTGGTAGGGAAAGCAAGGTAGAAAAAAACAAATCCAGGGTACTCTTAGAAAAGAACCAAGGGTGAAGGAGGGGATCAGAGCCGAGGATTTCATCAGCTGTGGAGAGATGCATATTAGTGTCCTTTACCCATTTCATGTGTTTTGACTTTTGTCCTTCTTTTTGTCCTATGTTGTTGGGAATTGATTCTATGGTCTTACTCATGCTACAGCTACTTTACCCCTGAGCTAGGATCCAGACCCTTAAGTTTTCATTATTTTGTTTGTATTTTTAGATAAGGACTCATGTAGCATAGGTTAGTTTTAAATTAACTATGTGGCTGAGGGTAACTTTGAAATTCTGGGTCTTCCTGCCTCCACCTCCAAAGTGTTGCAAGTATAGCAGTAATTGCATGCCCAGATACTTCATTACTCTTAGACAGAACTTTACACATATATTGGCTTTGCTTATGTTCTTGATTTTACATTATATAGCCCAAGACATATGCTTAGAGTATCTCTAACTTTTCATGTTGTAGAAATCATATAAATGTACAATGATATTAGTTTACTACTGATGTAGCCTATCAGAGCCATGCTGAAAAGCTTTTCTATAACTCTCAGATATATCTTCATGTGGACATGGAAATATCCAATTTACTCTAAAGCTTCCTCATATCCTCTACTGACAATGAAATTTGTTTGTCTGATCCTTTGTTCCAGTTCAAAACTGCTTCCTGGACCAGTACCTGTAATTGTGTGTCAAAAACTAACCTCCAGTGTTACCTGTCATCTATGGTAAGATCACTGTGTCTAAATTTCAAAAGCAGTTACTCTCCAGACCTGCATGCTGGCTTGTATTTCAGGAGGCCCTGCATTAAACAGAACAACGGCACCAGGGATGCTCTTCCCATCTCATGCCACCATTGGTTGGATTAGAATTCATTCCTTTGAGTTTCCATAAACAGATATTGAAAAGCTCCTTCTAAAATTGATGAGAAGAATACCTTCTGCCTATCTTTGGAAACTTAATTCTATCTGTCTATCTATCTATCTATCTATCTATCTATCTATCTATCTATCATTCCATCATCCATCCATCCATCTGTCCAAAACTAGTATCCTCAGGCTTAACAACAATGTGACAAAAGTTAAAGTTCAGTGAGAGCCTGTCTCAGAAAGCAAGGGAGAAAGGATGGTGAGATGGCCAAGCCTGACAATCTGAGTTTGATCACCAGAACCCAAGTGGTGGAAGGAGAGAACCAACTTTTATAAGTTGTCCTCTGACTTCTACACACTGGCATTCTTGGATCTACACACACACACACACACACACACACACACTCACACATGCATGCACACTAAAGAAGGAGACTGTCTTGTGGGAATGGTTCTCCAAGCAGCTAAACATGGTAGCAGATACAGTGTCAGCAACAGGACTGTAGAAATGAACACAGGAATCATTACAATACAATTGCGATGTTCAGTGTGACTGGGTCCTTTGAAGCAGTTTCCATAGGAAGCATTGCCATGGGAACATTCGAGGAAATGAAAGATCCAGTAGAGAAAAGAGCATCAGTGAATGTAAGAAAAAATGAACAAGAACTAGGCAAAACTACATGACCACAAAATGATAAACTAAAACAAAAGAAAGGCATAAACAGGAAACTGAGTCAGCCGACATAAAATTAGGTGCTCTACTAGAAAAATAAAAGTAGAAAAGCAAGGCCTATTTATAATATCACATGGATGACACATAAACCATGTGCCTGCTGTTCAAGTTGACTGACAAGATGTGCAAACACAAGTCCTTTTATGTTTGTGTATGAGGCTGTACATGGACCATAAGGAGGATGAAGTTGAGTTAACCAACTAAGGCACCCTGATCTCCACAAAGAAGCTGGGCAGTTTCTAATGTCCACTTCTGACCAAGTCTCACAGTGGCCCACATCTGTATTCATAATGTAATGCATCTGGCACTGATTGTAGATATCGGAAGCAGAAAACAACCTACATGCCCACTGGGCAAGAAAATAGACTGACAATGGCCCTGGAACACTAATCCTCCTCTGCGTGGGTAATGGTCACTCACTGGACACCTCTGGTATGTGAACTCAGCCTTCCCCATCTGTGCCTCCTTTCCTTTCTTGATCCTGAAGATGACCTCCACACTGTGAATCGGAAGGATGACAGATTAAAAAATGACTTCTTGGGTTCTAGCTTATCCAGTGAAGCTTTGCCCTGTTTTGTCATAAAAGCCAACATTTCCCACTGAACCTAATGTAATATTTAGGGATCCAAAAAGGAATTAAACTGCAGGACTTCCATGGCAAAAATCATTAAATACTTTTTATGTTCCACCATGTTCTGTGAAAAGAAGGAAGGAGATCCCCACTGGAGCCCGTCCCGGATCCCCGGGCTAGTTGTGCTCACCCACTGCCAAGAGGTGGCTGTAGATCTCCAGCATCACGTCCTGGTCCAGGTGTCTCTGGGAAGAGTGCAGTTGCTGCCACTTCTCCTGGCTGAAGGTCACAGTCACATCCTCAAAGGACATCCACCTCTGTAACATGAATGATGGGTGCTTCATTGAGGACTAGGACATGACATACAGGGCTGGGTTGGTAGTGACCTCACCAGGATGCATCATTAGGCTTCTTATAAACACCCATTTCATGTTCCATTCTAGGGATGAAGGAAGCTTACTTTAAAAACAAAAAAAGTCTTGCTATTGTATATTCAAGTTGTTTTCCTTTTCAAGGATGCCAGACACAAGTCTCTCTAAACTTTAACACAATACAAACACCTTGACATTTGTTAAGTAGCATTATATAGGCTGTGTTTGTGCCTGATCATTGGGATTCAGTGTTAGATGAGCGTCTGTTCTCCTAGAAACTTGCAAAAACAGGATATGCAAGGGCTGGAGAGATGGCTCAATGAGGGCTTAGCTGTTGGGTAGCTGCTATTTCTCTGGACTGAAATACTCAGTTGGGGAGTGAGGATGAGGAGAGGAGAATCTTCAGTCATGAAGCTCCACGCAGCTGCACAGGAAACTCTGGGATTTTTTTAGCAGCCATGTCTCTTCCCCCATGCTGGGATGGGGCTTTTCAGTGAAACAGCTGCACGGGTTACTAATGCCACTTAAGTAACCACAATAAACTCACTGGTTTATCAAGCTGCACTTGAGTGGGAAAATTCCCTTGGTCTGTAGTTGCCTTCTTCAAGCTGGGGTGCAGAAAAATGGACTCTACAGGAAGTCACTGGGCACATGGACAAATTTAAATGAAGAACCCAAGAGGTAGCACAATCAGCATGCCATGAAAAGATAAGGTTGGGGCATCTGACTCCTGTGCTCCACTAAACCACTTCTGGGAGCCCAGGACCTGCTGCCTCCTGTGTCTCTCTAGCTCTGGAGATCTGAACCTGGGGAAGGTCCTGCTTACCTCACATGACCTCTCCCGCTCCTGCGCTCCCAGTCTCTGGGGTTCCTGGGATAATTTCACATCAGCAGGCATGTCTTCACTGGTAAACTCTTGCTAGGAGATGTGATTTCCACAAGAGCTAGAAGCTGGGTTGCAACAAGAGGTTCTAAGCAGAGGTGCTGGGTGGAGGGCAGCTGTGGTATTATCACCTGAGTACTGCAGTCTGGATGATGTGGCATGACCGTGGATCTGCAGAGACACTGGGAAGTTCTAGGAAGTCAATGACCAAGTGACCACAGATCCAACATGGACCTCTCAGGATCCAAGTGAGGGTCTCCTTGCAGACTTGGCAGAGCAGGCTCAGGAGAGGCCGCTCTTGTCATCAGAGTCTAACCTGGTTATTTCCTAAGTGAGGATGCAGGGATGGTCGCTAGCACTGGCTCAAGGATAAGGCTCAAGACCAGGTATCTGCTTGGCACATGGCAAATACACATCAAAACCAGCAAGCTGCCTACTTCATTTTTATTTAAATTCCACACACCATTTCAGTCATATATAAGAACCTTAGTATTGAGCTGGATGCTATTCCTTAATTTACCCTGTGGTCATGGGGTAGAAGAGCAGGCAGGGATCAGTCACATGACACACTGTTCCTACTGTCTCATATGGTCAGCACACCCCCGACTTAGAAGCTGGGGGTGGGGGGTAATGGCCATTTCTGGTTCCTATTCTGTTTCTAGACTAGTTCTGTGTCCATCCATGACATGCCACACAGCCTATTGTTTTCTGACACACTACTTAAATTCACAGACCCAATCTCTGGTGTGGTTTGGAAAACGCGTACATGTGTGCACCAGGGCCTCTATTCGTAGACCTGTCGATAAGGAGTGGCCTCTACTACACCAGAATTAGGTCACTGACATCAATAATGTTCAGTATCCTCTGATTACCACAAAACTGTAGTTTTACTTTCCAGTCACTGAGGTATCTTAGGCTCCTGGAAATGTCACTACCTTGAAAGTCAACAGACATTTCCCAAACAATCTAATTTACTGGTTTCCTGAGACTCAATTCCAAACATGGCTCAAATAACATGTTCCAATATGGAAGTAGCATCATTTTAATCATCTAAGGTTTATTTATTTAATTATTTAATTTTAAATCTAATCTTCTGAGCTCCAGTGACCTACAGAAATAGCATTCTGGGATCGGAAGGCCCCTGCACAAAAGCACCAGGCCCAGCTCTGACTGGAGTCCAGAGGCAAATGTACATGTGCTTATGTCCTAGCTTTTGTTCTATCCCTCTGGAATAGTTTTACCTTTGGAATGGAAAAAAAAGAAGCATAAACAAAAACTTGAGAATGGTTGTCTTCTCAGTTCTGGCCCAAATTGTGAATAAATTAGCTTTCCCATATTTATCTTCTTTATACTATTTTTCTCTTCCTGTGGGTCAGTGTTTGTCTCAGAGCCATGACTCACAGCCGGGTCTGCAATCTACACTCCCAGGCTACAAAGCACTGAGGCTGCTCCATTGCAGTCCACAGCAACCCTGCTCTCCCAACTCCCACGGGACGCCCACCCCAGCTCAACCAGGGCACCCCCCTGCTGCTGCCTCAGCTGTCACTCAACACAAACCAGTGCTCAGCAGGATAGCATTCTCACTGCGCTGCCACCCCAGCTCACTCAGGGAGCTCTGCAGATGGCATGCCAGGCCCCCCAACTTCCACCCAAGAACGCTAGGTGAAACTTGAAGGCATTGAAAAAAGATATTGGAAGATGGAAAATCCCATGCTCATGGTTCAGTAAGAGTAATATTGTGAAATGGCCATCCTACCAAAAGGAATCTACAGATTCAATACAATTTTTCACAAAAATGGAAAGAAAAATAATCTTAAACTTCATATGGTAACAGAGGGGGAAGAAACCAAACAAACCAAAAAAACAGGATTGCTGGAGGGTATCACCGTCCCAGATTTCAGGTTGACCTACAGAAATATTGTAATAAAAACAGCATGGTATTGACATGGAAACAGGTTGATCAATGGATATAGAATATACAAACAACAACAAAAATCAAGAAAAGAAAGAACCCAATTTAAAAAGTTGGGTGGTTAGGGAAACTTGAAACTCTTGCACAGGACCCAAGTTTGGTTCCCATTATCCACATGGTGGCTCTCAACTGTAATTCCAGTTCCAGATCTGATGTCCTCTTCTGGCCTTTGTGCATATATATACATGCAGATAAGCACTCAACATAAACAAGTCATGACAGTGATCTACAGTGAAGTGCTGGGCTGTTTTGAGTTCCTGAGATGTGAACAATGTCTATTTATCCCAGACAGGTCACTGACAACAGGCCAAAGTAGTGATTCCACAAAAGTCCAATCAGTGAACAAATGATTTAGTAATGGGCTTGTTGAAGTATGAATGAGAGATTCTTTTGAATGGCTTGTATGACTCAAAAGCAGCTGCATCAACAGAAGTCCATTGAGCATGGGTGATGACTGCATCCCTGGAGCTCCCTGTACAGCTCTCAGGCAGCTTTATGATCGGAGACTTTCTCATGCCCAGCAGGAATTACTACTTTACAACCTTGAGAGGCTTTTCTGAATCTTACATTTTGGTAACTTCCTGAGACTTGTAAGTTGTTTGCTTCTGCCATCGTTTACATTTTTATTACTTTGAATTATATGCATTGGTGTGGGTATGCACACATGCGTGCAGATGCCCATAGAAGCCAAAGATATGGATCCTCCTCCTGAGCTTGACTTACAGATATTTGTGAGCTACCTGATACTGAATTCTGGGAACCAAACTCAAGTCCTCTGGAAGAACAGTAAATGTTTGTAACCACTAAAACTCCCTCCAGGACAGAATTACACAAGAGACCCA